GAGAGACGGACAGCAGAAAATCACAGGAAAAGCAGCAGGAGAGACTGAAAGGTGGCAGGGTAGTGGGAAAGCAGAGAAAGGCAGCAGAAAGTCACAGGGAAAACACAGTAGATGGCATGGGAGGCTGAAAGGCAGTAGGGACAGCAAGAAAGCAAGGAGAGGCTGAGAGGTGGCAGAAAAGGGGAGACGGAATAGGGAGGAGATTGGGAAACTAGCGGGGGGGGGGCTGGAGCTGAGAGAGAGAGAGAAAATGAGGCTGTAATTTAAGATAGGGAAGAGACTGGGATTCAGTAAAACACGACCCAACTCGGGGTTGCAAATGACAGTGGTTTTGTTTAACAGGGGAGATGGTGACACAATGTCTTATTGGTTCCCTTGCGTGCACACACACACACACACACACACACACACACACCCACACACACACACACACACACAATGGCAGCAGGGGTTAGAGAGGCTTGGTGCAGGGGCTGAAGTCCCCTGAAGTCCAGGAGGAGAGAGAGAGACAAAGAGAGAGAGTCCAAATTGTAGGAGAAGGTGTGCAGGTAATATCTACCTATCCAGGGTGGACAGGGGTCCTTGTCCAGTAGGTGTCCAGAGGGGGGTCACTGTCAGGGCCTCTGGGTGGATAGGTGGTGTGGCATGGTGCTGGTCCAGATGGAGAGGGCATAGGGATGGAAATGGCGTTCCCACTGGGTCTGTCTTCACTGCCCCTTTTTATAGGGGCAGCCCTTGTGTGACCCTAATGACAGGAGGCATGCCCAGGCAAGGGTCAGCCCCTGGTGTACTGAGCATGTGTGCTCCATGCAGGGATGTGCAGTTTTGAGTGCCTGTGATGGTGGGGTACAATGGTAGAGTTGTTGGTTCTGCAGGGTCTTTTGTCTTTCAAATGCTGGGTTCTTGTCTCTGTTCTTGAGTGAGGTCCATGGTTCCTGGATGAATCAATGCAAGGTGATGGCCCAGTCATTATAGGCCATTCAGTAGAGGCCTGCTACCATTGTATTTCAATCATTCCCAATCACTCTCATTCATCCAGGAATCAATTTACATGGGAGGGGTACAATGAATCATATTATTGCAACACAGGATGCCCAAGCAGAGGACACAAGATGGAGGCTTGACACATAAAATGGAAATTTGACATGACTTTGTTTCACTTACAAACACAGGCCTAAACCATACAATATCCATATAAAACAATAAAAATCAATACAAAAATGATAATAATACAATACACAACAGTAAGAATCAATACAAACCTAATAATTATACAATATAAAGCAGCGGATATCCAAAACCAAAAACTTGCTACCAAAATAAAAATGTTAAAGCTTATCCTAAGTCTGAGCTCACTTATACTTATCTATAGGGAATAGAGAGGGAGAGAAAAAGTCAGAAATGGTTGGGGAAGGGGAGGGAATGCATTTTAAAATGAATAAAAAAAGAAAAACTGAGGGTTTTGCTACAATAGCAGTATAGCATAACATGCTTCCCTTATGCTTCTGCAAATTTCTGAGTTACCAAACTTGCCTGGAAATCAGACCTCAGAAAAATAGGACCCTTTCAAAAAAATAAGCATTTGTAAAAATTGAAAAATGAAGCACTGAACTATTTATGAATAAAAGATATATATATATATGAGTTTTATTGGAAGATCATTTAGAAAATGTTAATCTGTTCTACAAATACATCATTTAAACATAATTTTACAAAGTCTAGACATATCATTAGCTCTCTCTTACCAGAAATCCAGAAAAAGGTGTGGGCACGATGTTCCTTTAACTTGATTTTTCATGTCCTGCTGCCAAATCCTGTGGGTTTTCTGTTTGTTTTTTTTCCTGACTGCTGAAAGGGTGGGATATTAGATCTCTTTTGAGACTAATATTAATGTCATCCTTCCCTTGTAAGAATTAGATTACTATTCTAAATGTTTTCAATTTAACATTTTTTGAAAAGTAAATGGCCAGAATTATCACAAACAAAAAGAATTCTTATGAAAAATGACATGGCATTTGCACATTATTGAAGATACTATTTGATATTTTTAGGTATCCATCACTCAGTCTTCCAAAGCTCATTTTTCAATGCTTAGCAAAAATTATTGGGAACGTTATAGTTTTGTCAAATATTTAAATGCTAAGGGTATTTTTTTCATGGAAGTAAGAAGTATTCAGGGAAGCACACAGAGAAGCCCTGTGAATAGAGCTCAGAAAGTGATCTCTTGGGTCAGGCTAAAAAACCCTCAGCTTTATTTCAAAGTAAAACTTTGATAGATCCAGACTCAAACCTTCCATGGTAGTTTAAAATGCATACCTATACAATCTAGACAAATCTGCCTGTACATTCACCTTTTGGTTTTCCTACTCCTACCTTCAGAAGTATATGTATTAAAGCAAGCACACATTTTCTAAGTGATAATCCTGAGAACTAAAATTATCCTTATTCACAGATTTTTGCCATCCTGTTTTCGTGTTAATGACTTAAGAAGTGACAGTTAGTGATTATGGTCTGTTTTCTTAGAGTGAGAGTCTCTTTACCTATTTGGAAGGTAGAGTGGAGTGCTGTCACTGTCACAGTAATGTCATCTTTAAATTTTGACACAGTAGCTGAATGAAACCATGTATCATTCATTGCTTCTAAATCTTTTGTCTCATCTGAGAGCAAAAGTGCTGAAATACCATAATACTTTTCTTTCCAAAAAATAGCAAATTACAATATTAAATAATAGATTTTCAAAACAATATTGTAGATTTGAGATATGGGTATTTTAGGTATGTGTGAAGTTTTCTGGGTGTTCATCCAAAATAGAACTTACAAACTTCAGTTTTTTTACAGAGTTTAAGACAAAAGACCATTATTTAGAGTCAGACCTCTTCAAAATTTGACTCTATTACCCTATCTTAAGCCCAATAATTTTCGTTAGACCAAAGCATTTCAGTCTTTATGAAACTAAACTCTTTGTTTGATTTACATGCCACCCTGCCCAAGAGAAGCCCAGGACAGCTTACAATAAGAGAACAGAATAGCTTATGAAACAGGAGAATAAACAAAAGAACAAAGTGACTAGAATATCTCTACCTAGCTTTATTTGATAAATGCTTGCTGAAATAAGAAGATCTTCCAAAAGATGTCCAGACTTGGGCACTGGCAAGCCACAAACAGGAGGGAGTTCTAGAACTGTGGAGAGACTACTGAGAAAGACTTCCAATACTTTTTCTGAAGTAGAATTGGTGCATTAATGGTACTTGCAGGAGGTTGCTTTTGGCCAATCTTGAGCATTGAGATGGGGTATGAAGGAGAAAGCAGTCCCTTTCATATGTGGAGTCCGGACATTTTAGAGCCTTATAGGCCAAAGCTAGCACCTTGAACTGAGCCTGCAAAGTGATTGGGAGCCACCTGTATGCTACAGTCAGGGAATCAAAATTTAGGATTACCTTATTTCTAGTTTCAAAAAAGAGGACACCTGTTGGGGAGACACCTCACTCCCAATCAACACCCCTCCGGCCCTGCCAGTGCCCTTCACTCCCAACCTGCATCCCCCCATCCATGCTGCTGCCCCTCATTCCTGATCCACAGTCCTTTACCACCCCAGGCTATGATGCAGCTCCTCAGTCCCAGCCATAAACCCCCCCCAATCCCTGCTGCTGACCCTCCCTCCTGACCCACAGACCTCTGTCTCTGGTGGTGCCCCTCAATCTCAACCCACTGTCCCTCACTCCCAGTCCATGTGGGTGTCCCTCACTCCTGATTCACAGCCCCTGCTCCCTCATCCCTGCTGGAGGGGGTTCCCAACTGGACCAGAGCACAGCAACTCTGATTTGTGTGGGAGGCAGTGGAGCAAGTCATGCCCCTGTGGCACCCAGCACTGCACCAGGTGTCCCCATGTCCCCCTAGGACAGAGTCTCTTGGCTGGCCCAGGCCTGCAAGCAAGGGCATCAACCCTAGTGTTGCTGGCCCAGCCACAGAACTCCCCACTGCCTCAGAGGCCTCCCCCCCACCCCATCTCCTCCCGACACTGGAGGGGAAGTTGCCTGCCCCATATTTTTAAATAGAGCAGCTATTTGGACCCACTCTAATTAAAACACTGGCAGTGTCTTGTGTATTCAGTGTCCCAGGTTGCAAAATAGCAGTGGAGGTGCTTTAACAAAGCTCATTCAGATGAGTTTTAATTTAAGTGTTCCTGCCACCATTTTGAAATGTGGAACACTGAATACACAAGACACTGCAGCACACTGGAGTGTTCTAATTAGAGTGCTCCAGGAGACTCAATTAATCGAGACTGCTCCAACGCATTCTAATCAGAACAAGTCATAGCACATGTAAAAGTGTCCTCAGGTTATATTTGGTCAATTGAACAACAGAGGAAATAAATCCTTTCCGTCCCTGTAGGTGATAGAATAAAACAGTCCAGTGAGAGATTTGGTTCTAGCAAATACAGAACTACACGTGTTATGAGTAACCAGAAGGCAATGCAGAACTGCTTTTTTTTCCTCCATGTCCCAAAAGGAAAATAAATTAAGTGAGGAATTCATAGATTCACAAACCTGAATACCAGAAATGACCACCACAACTATGCACATTAGCATGTGCAGATGAGAGAATTTCTCCCAGAGGCTGGGTTAAAGCATGCTCTTGAAAGAAACAAAATATTCACTTTAAAGACTGAAAGTCAATACACCACCTTCCCTGGTAAATTGCTTCTAGAGTTAATTACTCCCGCTGCTAACAAATAGCATATTAATTTAGGGTAAACTTCTGTAAATTCAGCCTAAAGCCGTTGAGTATCATTGTTTCTTTGTCAGCAATATTGAAAAGCTACCCCCCACTATCATCAGATATATATTCAGTGTGTAAGCATATAGATAAAGCAATCAAGCCTAATTGCAGCCTTTTCTTCAATAAGCCAAATAAGCCAAATAAGCTCCTTTTATGTTTTAGCCCCTAGATCATTTTTAGCCCTCCTTTGAATGCCTACATTCACCTTGAAGCATGGATACCAAAATTGGGTGCGTCATATTTACTACTCTTCACCACTTCCATCTACAAGGTATGATCATTTACCTACTTCTACTTGATATTTCTCTTCTTCTACATCTAAAGTCTGATCACATCAACTACTCTTGCTACACCATGGCTTCGAGTACTCATGCTGCAATAGTTTTTTACAATTTTTTCTTCATTTTTCTTTATTCTTTTTATTCCTAGTTACTGCTCTCAAAGCTGGAATGTCCCACCTTGTTGGTGTAGCCTGCTTATTCTCATTCTCAGGTTTATTGTCTTTCAGTAGCTATATTAAAATGATTTTTTTCTAGATTTAATCAGCAATTCAGATCAACAGAACCTTATCATCATTATTTACTTCCCCACTAATATTTGTGGCTGCATATAAGCATTTCAGCTAGAAGTTTGCCCCCTAACCTAAGATAAATCTAAGGTAGAGGGAGGGCTGGACAAAATGGAAGGTTTCAGGGGATTTGGAGGGGATAGTGAAGTCTTTGGGGGATTAGGGGAATCAGGGGGGCTAGTAGGTCCACAGTGGTGTTGATGGAGTCCAGGAGGGTTTGTCAGAATTGGGGGACCTAGTGGGATCCATGGGGTGGGAGGGAGATTGCGGGTTAGTGGGCCTGCCAAGGAGGTTGGCAAGACTAGGGGGACTTGAAAAATTGGAGAGACTTCCTGATACCACCAGACCTCCCCCTCCAGTGCTGCCAAACTGACCCCTTCCTCCAAACTGCTCTCAGGTCTGGTTTTATCAGTGTTAACCAGCGCTGGAAGCCTGAAGTAAATTGGGGTGGTAGAGAGGTGGATGAATTATGGGATTTAGCACCTTCATGGGTGGTGGGGGTTTGTGGGATCAGGAGGGCTCTCTGCCTCCCTGGGACCAAGGGCTATTTGTAGCTCCCTGACCCCCTCCACCACCAGACAAACAACCGCCCCCCCAGCAAACCAATCCCCTATCCTGCCTTCCCACTTTACTACTTCCATTGGCTCCCAGCACTGGTGAATGTTAGTAAAACTGGCACTAGGACTAGCTTGGAATATTGTATGGGGAGGGGTTGGCAGACTTGATTGGGGGCGCTGGCTGGTCTGTGGGAGGTAGCAGGGGGTCTCCATCTGGAGGTGGGGAAAAGTGCTGGGGATGGGCTAAAAAAAAGCCTGGTGGTAGAGAGGGGGTGCTGGGAAAAGCACAGCTGGGGCCAATGCATGTTTTTCTTCCAGCCCCAGGGCTGCATTGTGATTCATGTACACAAGTTCAGTTAGATGAGTCTAGCTGTACCCAGTCTTGCTTGGTGCACCTCTGAGGTACATTTAAATTAGATCAGTTTGACTATTTTGGGGGACCAAACTAACCTTCCTGGAATTTCTGCAAAGTTTGCATTTGGATCAGCCTAACTAGGCAGCTAAGAGAAGGTCCACACGTGGGTGAACCAAGTTAGATCAGGTGGCCATATTTAACAAAATGTAACCTCCCCAAATGTCTGTATGTACCCTGTAATTCAGATCAGTAGTAATCTGTCCTCATTATTTGCTTCCTTACTAATCTGTGTCAACCTTTTGTGGGCTCAGTCAGCATTAGTTACAGGATAAGGGACTAAGTCTCATTTTAGGGCACATTTTCTGGCTTAAGAGAAATTATGGTCTTGTGGTATAAGTGATGGGGTTGGGCTTGGAAATTCTGTATTTTAGTAACATATTTTCCATAGGCTTTCTGCATGAGTTTAGGTAGCTCATTGAAATTCACTGGGCTTCAGTTCTTCATTTATGTTTTACTATCTATAACTTTTGTAGACTACAGACAGTCTGCCTTATAGAGATGTTGTGCAGATAAATGAATTGATTTGTGTGTGTGTATATGTGTTCATCTGTTACCATGATGAAATGTATGTCCTTAGGCTCCACAATGTACTTAAATGAGTAGAATTAGCCATGTGAATATTTCCATAAAAGGCAGTAACACTGGTCACATAGGTAAATCAGAGTAAAAGTTTAAGTTCCTTGTTTGAGTGAAAGTCTAAATTGCCAAGGTGTAAAGAGCAAGTTTTTCACCCTGGGAAAAATTTTCCCCATGACTGGAGGGGGAAGGGGTGGGAATCAGTCTTACCTACCCGAGGTCCTCTCTGGCAGGTACTGGTGCCTAGTGGTCTGCTCAGCTTTTGTTCTTGCTGCAATGCAGTCATATAAAATCTCTGCACCCAGCTTCTGCTACTAGGGCTATAGCATGGCATGGTGTCATCGACTCCTCAGGGACCTTTCATACTGTCACCCCCTCTGAGTGGGCACCCAGGTATGGTGGTCTGCTCACTTACCTCTTGTTACATTATTGTACAAATCTCTACAAATCTAGATTGTCTGCATAATGACTCAGGATACTGGTGAGTTAAGATTAGTGGTGCTCTTTTTGAATAACCTATATTTTTTTTTTTAGGGTGTGAGACACAAAAAAGCATTCCCTTTATTAGGTTTTGCAGTCTAAACCTGCTATCGGGGAAGTACAGTAGCTTTTCAGAGGAACCAGTGAAAAACTCACTTCAAAACTTGTTTATCATCTGTACAGTTAAAAGAACACAATCAAATAAAGAAATAAAAAAGAATCAAATGAGATTTATAGGAAACTGAAAATAATATTTAGGTCTACACAGCAAAGAACATCATGTTACTAGGAAGAAGAATGGAAGTGTTTTCTTCCTATATGTAGGAATATGCAAATGTGTGTGCGAGCATGTGCATGCGCGCGCACGCGCGCGCGCACACACACACACACACACACACACACACACACAGAGTCCAGAAGATGAATTCAATAATTCAGAACTAACCAGTGAGCAAAAATGTATCCAGGCAGGAGGCTCTTTCATTATAGTTATCAGGCTGCAAAGATCATCACTTTCATTCAAATAAGAAACAGTTTGACTTAAATTGCAAATTCTTTCAGAACAGAAATTCTGCATGATTTGTACCCAGAAACCTCAAACCTTAATTTTTTTTTAATAATAATCAATAATTCCTCTCCAATAATGTCAATATTAACTATCATCTATACAATACTGTATAAAGTCCTGGATATCAAAAACCACAAGACCCTGGAGTCTATGTTCCTGGGACAATCAAATTGACCATGAACCATACAATTGCCATAGAATTTCTTAGCAGCCAGTAGGAAGCCTGCCAATTGTTTTTCAAGGTTTCCAAAACCCAAGATGTTTGAAAGCATATGTTTTGGGTTCAATGAATTAACACTTTTTACTGAAGCTGTTTTGTCATAAGATTTTTCATGAGCCTTTATTTTTAGACCAGAATGAAAAAAGATGGCAAAAGTTTCTGTTAGGTAATTTTTCTTAGAAAATGTGGTCAAAATCATTATCCATGAGAATAATTCAGATTTCATAACCCTCTCTCTCCTCATACGCACCTGTACACTTCTGACTTATATACAGAACAGTTCCTTCTGCCTTATACCAGTGCTAGCTGGTTCAGAGGCATACCCTGAACATCTTCTAAAGATGATTGTAAATATGTCTTTCTGTTAGGCAAATCAACACAGGGAACTTAGTATGTGCAGGTACAAGCATTTCAGTGTTTCTCTAGAGAGTATGAGACACTAGTCTTTGCTGTGGCACTTGATCATAGTCTTAGAAGACAGCACTTGAAGGCATTTTGATGGAACTGAATCCTTATTAGAGCTACAGAACATTTGATCTAAAAAATAAACAAACAAACAAACAAAAAATTTCTAAACAAAAAAATAGAATAAAAAATACAAATAAATAGGAACACAGGCAATACAAAAAAATAGGAACAAAGAAAATAGGCTGCAGTAAATGAAGAGAGAGAGGCCTCATTAAATTTATTTTAAAAGAACTCTTTTCTTATAAACTCTTGAGATGGTCCTGTATGCTTTCTCTAGATAGCCCAATTTTACAACCCGTTAGCTGACTCAGCAAAAGCCAGGAAACATTAGATTAGACTGTACTCCCAAATTCCCACTGCTGGATCCTATTAAAAGAAGATACTAGGAAATTTTGCAAATCATCTAGCCATAAAAGATGAGATTTTTTTTCTTTTGTTTTTTTTAAAGAATATAGTTATCTGCCTCCTAACAAAATTGTGGGTGGGGCAGGAAGAAGGCAACAAAAAGTTATAGTCTAAAGTTATACTTAATGAAAATTGCAATTGCTTCCTGTGGCGGGGCACTGTGGGTGCCTGCTACTTTAACACCTGAGCCAAGCAGCCAGCAGGTGCTTGATTGAGGCAGCCATTTTAGATCCCTGGCTGCCTATATAAACAGCTCAGTTCCCTGTTGGCTGGGAAGGCAGCAATACTGTCTGGTTGTGAGGCTTTGTATATCATCCTGGAGGTAAAGGCAGGAGCTGAAGGGGATGGTTAGGAGGCTTCTGGTCCTGGGCATGACCTAACCTGAACCCTGCTGGGAATGGGTGGCCTGGTGGGGCTGTCAGTGGCGTGGGAGCCCCCAGGAAATGCCAGGCCAGTTATCACCCCAGTGAAAGGCAGGTAGGGGCACCTTAACACTAGCCCTCACCTTTGGGTGGGTTAAGTAACACCAGAGGTAGTTTGGGGCCAGGCACGGCTGTGGCCACCTAAGCCCTGTGTGGGGAACAAGATCCCAAGAGATCCTAAGGAGGGAGAGAGGGGCCAGGCATGGCTACAGCCTCCTGAGCCCACTGGGGAGCAAAGCCCCATGCCTCCAAGTGAGGGGGCAGTGTGGAGCCCCAGTGAGGGGGGCAGAAATAAGGACACCAGTAAAAGGATAGCCCCAGGTGAGGGGAACAGAGGTGTGGAGCCCTAAGTGAAGGGATGGGAACACCGTGGTGAGGGGTGGCCTCAGAAAGGGGTGGAGATGAAGAGCCCCAGTGGGAAGGGAAGGAAAACCAGAGGGCTGAGTGCCCAGTATGTTTGCATATATAGTTGCCCCCAGAAGGGGCTAGAGCAAGCTTAGACCCGGTCAGGTAATTGGCTGGCCACTACCCTGGTGAGGGTTGCGGGATAGGCCCAAAAGATGGTACGTCTGCCATCCAAGGGATGGACTAG